ATCTCAGACGCGGGGCAGTAAGACAGCTCGAGTCTCCGCTTCTCGATCTCGTCCTTCACGAAGAAATATCGCAGGGCGATGTGCTTCGTTCTGTTCACAAATCTGTTTTTGTTGGCAATGCGAATTGCAGACTGGTTGTCACAGAACAGAGAGAAGCTGGGTAATTGGGTAAAGTCCTTCCTTGGTGGCTGAGCAGAGTGCAATATATTCTGCTTCAGCTGAGGAGAGAGCAATTAGTTCCTGCTTGCTCGACTGCCATGAGATGGGCCCGATAGGCTCGAGTCGGTAGATATAGCCGGTGCGCGAGCGCCTGTTTTCAGAGTCGCCGGCGAGATCAGCGTCGACGTAGCCGATTAGCTTAGGCGCCGTAGTTCCGGTCTTGTAGTAAGGTAGTCCGATCGTCGGGGTGCTGACGAGGTAGTGTAGTGCGCGGTCGAGCTCCGCCATGTGCTCGGCTTCGGGTTTCTTGAGGTAGGTAGCAAGTTGGCTTGCAGAGTACGATAAATCTGGTCAGCAGGTGACGGCTGCGAAGAGCAGACATCCTAGCTTTCGTTGATAGTCGCATATGCCGGTGGGCTTGAGTAGAGCGCAGGTTTCCTTGTGACATACAGTGTAGTGATATGGTGTGGAAATAGTTGGGGTGAGTCTGAAGCATTTGGCGATAGTGTCGGTGTATTTCGCGGCGCTGAGGTAGATCGCGTTCTCTTCTTCCTGGATGTTGAGGCCGAGATACTGTGTGACGGTGGACGAGACCGTGAGCGTGAGATCTTGCTGCAGCTCCCCTTCGAACCAGGTAGTGACGTCGTCGATCGAGCCGATGTAGAGCAGGTCATCCACGTAGACGATGAGTAGAATGTAGTTGTCACCTTTCGTGAGCCGGTACATGCCCTGGTCATGCGGTAGTTGGCGGAATCCGATGCGAATAAGTCTAGCGTGTAGGTACTGTTTCCACAGTCTCGAGGCTTGTTTAATACTGTAAAGGGACTTCAGCAGCTGATAGACTTGGTTCGGCTCTCCGTTGGAGCCGTGTGGAAGTTCGACGAAGATTTCGGCGTCAACATGTGTGTAGAGAAATGCATTGGCGACGTCAATTTGCCGCAGCTTCTTCTTCATGACGGCGATCGGGAGGAGAATTCGAAGCGAAGTGTGTCGGCTGACCGGGGCGAACGTCTCGGTGACATCGCGTCCGTGCTCTTGGTCGAAACCACGCACGACCCAGCGCACCTTAAAAACTTGTCGATGGTGCCGTCTGCCCTTGTCTTTCACACGGAAAACCCAATTTCCGGTGAGTACCGTTTTGTTGCGTGCCAAGCCAATGGGAATGACTTTCCAGGTGTTTCGTTCTTCCAGTGCATTCAGTTCCTTGTCCATGGCTTCGCGCCATTTCTCCTTATGCTCCCCACCCAGAGCCTGCTGAACTTTGGCAGGCTCCTTAGGAATTGCTGTGCCGTGGACCGCGGTGACGAGGCCGAGTATCTGGAGGCCACTCTGTGTGTAGCGGGGAAGTGTTGTATCCTCGGGATAAGGTGCTTCGACTCCTGCTTCTGGGTCAGGTATGAAATTGGGCCCTATGCGTTCTGCTTTGTTGGTGTTGATTCTTACAGGTGTAACGCAACCATTGTCGGCGAAGTGGTAAAATACTTCGGCGTTAACACTTTCGCGAGGATTTTCGTCATCCATTGGGACGTCGACAGAGCAGTAAGGGAGAGGTCCGGCTTTCTCCGAGGCTTCATCCATGTTCTGCTCGTCCCAGTCAGCTTCGTCTGCTGCTGAAGCGAAGGCTCGGTCACCGTGAAAACCACCTCTGGGGTCCCGGTCTTCTTCCAGGTTGGCAAGGTACGTCAGAAGTGTGAGTCGTTCGTAGAAAATGACATCACGTGCTGCTACTATTTCCTTTGAGTGGACGTAAAAAATCTTCCACGCGTTGTAATTCTTTTCGATGCCCAGGTGTAGTCTCCACTGTGCGCGTTGGGAGAATCGGCCGGCTCGTGCAGCTGGGGGTCGGTACTGTACCATACAGCCGAAAACTCTTAACATTTTTGGGCTGCCCTGTTTTCTTGTCCACAGCAGGTGCGGTGATGCATTATTCGGGAGCGATGATGATGAGAGCAAGTTGTGCAGCATGACAGCGTGGTCCATTGCTTCGGGCCATTGGTGGTTGGGAAGCCGCATGCCACGTAGCAGCTTGCGCATGGTGTTCTGGAGAGTCCTGTTCATTCTCTCTGCTACACCTTGTTGTTGATGGGCGTAGGGAAGGGAGATGAGCCGCTTGATTCCCCTCTCTGCCAAGCACTGCTTGAACCTCTTTGAGGTGTATTCTCCTCCTCCGTCTGACTCGAAGCTTATTACCTTCACGCCTGATTCTCGTTCTGCTACTGGGAGCCAGGCGATCAAAGCCTCGAAGGCCATGTCTTTGCTCGCAAGATTGAGGTAGTGAGAATAAGAACGAGGAATGAATGAGCTAGCAAGCAGGTGGGTACTGTCAAACCCATATGCTATAGTCTATGTAGGCTGTAGTGGGGTAGACAATATAGGGTACAACACTTTTAGGTTTTCCTACTTACACCCACCTGCTTTCTAGTTCATTCATTCCTCATTTCTTCACATGGTATAGAGCAGGTTCCCTAGTGGGAACTTTTCCTAGGGCCCACCACTAAAAATCGAGTTTTCTTTCTTTTTCCTGCCCTGAGATCGAGTCCCCCTCTCACGGCCCCTCGCGACCCCGTCGCCGCCCCTTAGCGGCCCGTCGCGCCGCCCTGAGCCGCCCGTTGCGCCGCCTGTCAGAATGTTATCTTATGCTCTAGCCTGTAGTGGGGTGCTCTATAGCGAGTACAACCCTTCTAGGGTTTGCTATTTGTATCCCCATTCTTGCTAGTGCAACCCCTCTTCCCTCTTCTTTCTTCTAACTTTCACATGCTATCAGAGCAGTTCGATCCCCTTGGATCGATCCTGTGGGTGGGTTACCACCTCCTCGCTTCCGCTGCAACTACCTTTCACTACTCTCTGAGCCGCACGCCCCCTGGCGTGCGGCACTTTTTCTTCCCGCCGTGCGCCCCGAGGCACGCAGCAGTTTTCTGCCCGCCGTGCGCCCCGAGGCGCGCGGCGGTTTTCTGCCCGCCGTGCGCCCCGAGGCGCGCGGCGGTTTTCTGCCCGCCGTGCGCCCCGAGGCGCGCGGCGGTTCTCTGCCCACTGTGCGCCCCGAGGCGCGCGGCGGTCATCTGCCCCGTCGTTCGCCGCGTCGCCCTCTGGAGGCGCCGCGACGGGCGACCGGGACCCGTCGCGGCGCACAGAGGGCACGCGCCTCGGCCCCGTCGCCCTACCTGCGCCCCGGCCCCGACGCCCTACCTGCGCCCCGGCCCCGACGCCCTACCTGCGCCCCGGCCCCATCGCCCTACCTGCGCCCCGGCCCCGGCCCCGCCTGCGGCCCCTTTTCCCGTCGCCCGTCGCGGCTCCCTCGGGGGCCACCTGGGGGAGGGGGGCGAGCGCCGCCCCTTGTGCTACCTGTCTTGGCGCCCTGGGAGGCCGCGCGTCGGTCCCCCCCCCCCCCCCCCCCCTCCCCCGTAACCTCCCTACCCGCCATCCCGCCCTGCCTGTGTTAGGGTTTGGGGAGTGGCGAGTAGGGGATGGCGAGTATGGGGGTGGCACTTCTGCATTCCTCCCTTTGCTCCTCCTCCTCCTTTGTCTCCCACTGCTGCAGCTGTCGCTGAGGGGGGTGGATGTGTGGGAGACTGGGGTTTAGGGTTTAAGGGGGGTGCGTGGGAGTGGAGCTAGCGGTGTAGCAGCGGGTGTGTGCCAGGGGGAGTGAGATAGTTTGGGGAAGCTGTATGGAGGTTGCCGTCGTGTCGCCAGCAGCACCTGTATTCCAGGGACTTCGTCCGGTTGCCCAGTCGTAGCCAGCTGTGCCAGCCGCCCGTGGGTCCGTTGCTCGTCTGCCGCTACTTTAGCCGCGGGGCCTGTTACTCCTGTATTCCGGGGACTTCGTCCGGTAGCCACTGTGCTAGTCTGCCTCCTGTTGCCCGTGTGTCTGCAGCTTCAGTCGTCGCCTCCTATCTCCTTTCCTCTCACTCTCTCTCCTCCTCCTCGCTTGCCCGTTGTGACTACCACTAGCTTTGCTCATAATTGTACCCTTTAAACTATTGCTTCTTGAACTTGTGCTCAGAATGTGTGGTGACATTGTGATCCACCCTGAGCTTGTACCGCTTTGCTTGCTCTGCTGATTACACCCCACTTTGGCTATGGGGGTGTGTCAGAATGTTATCTTATGCTCTAGCCTGTAGTGGGGTGCTCTATAGCGAGTACAACCCTTCTAGGGTTTGCTATTTGTATCCCCATTCTTGCTAGTGCAACCCCTCTTCTCTCTTCTATTTATTTCCCTCAGCGGCCCCTTGTGGCCCCACCTCCACGGCCCCGCCGCCACACTCTCGCCGCCCCGTCGCCGCCGTTCGCGGCCCCGACGCCGCCCTTAGCGGCCGCGTCGCCGCCAGTCGCGGCCCTGCAGCCGCTCCTCGCGGCCTCGTCGCCGCCCTCTCGCGGCCCCGGTGCCACCCTCTCGTTGTCGCGTCGCCGCCCTCTTGCAGCCCCAGTGCCGCCCTCTTGCGGCCTCATCGCCGCCCTTAGCGGCCCCGTCGCCGCCCCTTGCGGCCCCGTCGCCGCCCCTTTCGGCCCCTCCCCGGCCCCTTCACCGCCGAACCGCCGAGCCGCCGAGCCGCCGAACCGCCGAGCCGGTGAGCCGAGCCACCAAGCCGCCGAACCGCCGAGCCGCCGAGCCGCCAAGCAGCCGAGCCGCCGAGCCGCCGAGCCGCCGAGGCCGGCGTCGAGCCGCCACTACCGAGCCGCAGCCGCCGAGCCGCCGTCGAGCCGCTACTGCCACTGCCGAGCCGCTGCCACCGCAGCTGCAGCCCTGTTCCTACCGACGAGCCCCGGCCCTACCCACCCAAACTGGTGAGAGCACTCCCTGCTAGACCACTGCTGTCATGGATACCCCAGTGTCCTGACCTTTGATGCTGAGGGTCGTGCTGTTGACTTCGAGGTTTGGGTCGATGACCTACAGCTCTTCCTACAATACGATAGGGCAGACGGACTCTCCCTGTTCGATCTCACCTCTGGTGCCTCTCCTGCCCCGCCTGCTGATGCTGACAGCACTGTTCACTCACAGTGGGCCACACGAGGTGGCCCTCGTGCCCCTGTCTTTCAGGGGTGCTCCCCCTCCCCCCTTTTGCCCTCTGTTGCCTCTAGTGCTGCCGTCAACTTCGTTGGCAACGAGTCGGTCGGCACTGCGTCTGCCCCTAGCGGGCGACGCCGCACTGGCAAGGCAAGGGAAGCAAGGGCGCTAGAGGGGTTGGTGGGGGCGGTGGAGGGGGCAGTGGAGGAGGCGGAGGGAGTGGGCATGGTGGTGGGAGTGGTGGCCGGGGTGGGGGCTTCGGTGGCGGCGGTGGCGGCGGAGGCGGCGGCGGCGGTGGCGGTGGGAGCGGAGGAGGAGGCGGTGGCGGCGGTGGCGGAGGTGGCGGCGGAGGAGGTGGAGCTAGTCGGGGTGGCTCTGCGTCTGCACTCTGATAGAGGCGGGGAGTTTTTCTCTGCCCTTCTAGGAGCCTTCTGTCGTGCACAGGGCATCCTCCAGACCTTCACGCTTCCGGCCTCTCCACAGCAAAATGGAATTGCTGAGCGCCGCATTGGCATGGTCATGGACGTCGCTCGTACGTCCATGATCCATGCGGCAGCTCCCCATTTTCTGTGGCCGTTTGCGGTTCAGTACGCAGCGCATCAGATCAACCTTCAGCCCCGCGTCTCCTTGCCGGAGACCTCCCCTACCTTGCGGTGGACGGGGAAGGTTGGCGGTGCGTCTGCGTTTCGTGTCTGGGGATCTCGGGCGTTTGTCCGCGACTTGTCTGCGGACAAGCTGTCCCCCCGTGCGGTTCCCTGCGTCTTCCTTGGCTTCCCCCCTGACGCGCCTGGTTGGCAGTTTTACCACCCCACCTTGCGCAAGGTCCCCCCCTGGTAGACCCCCTCCCCCCTCAGGGTCCTGCCCCGTTAGGTGTATCCCTGCTAGACGTAGTCGAGCCTGTCGAGGTAGCTGTTGACTCTCGTACTGCTAGGGGTGCTGAGCCTGGGGGTGTTGAGTCTGGGGGTGCTGAGCCTGGGGGTGCTGAGCCTGGGGGTGCGGAGCCTGGGGGTACGGAGCCTGGGGGTGCTAAGCCGAGGGGTGCGGAGTATGGGGGTGCTGGGTCTGCTCGTGTGGCCTCTGGCGGTGCTGGGTTGTTGGCCCGTTAGGGTGCTTCATCGAGGCGGGAGCTACCCTCTCCACAGGAGCTGCGCGAGTGGTTTGCATGGCGCTGGAGCCGTGCTGCTGAAGCTGGAGGTGCTGCTGTTACTGCTGACCTTGGGGTCGGCACTGGAGTTACTGGAGCCACTGGTCCTGGAGGTGCTCGTACTGGTGGTACTGGAGCCGCTGGTCCTGGGGGTGCTGCTGACGGTCCTGCTGGAACTGGTGTTGCTGGAGCTGGAGCTGCTGGAGCTGGAGCTGCTGGGGGTGTTGGCGCTGGAGGTGCTGCTGGCGCTGGTGCTGCCGCTGGGGGTACTAGTACTGTCCCTGCTGGTTCTGTAGGCGTTGCGTGGCCGCGGCCGTACTTCGTTCCGCTCCTTGAGCAGGTTCTTGGTCTCCCGCCCTGTACTGGTCCTGCTCCTCCCCTAGAGTGTCTAGAGCCTGTCCAGTCGGGGTCACAGTTACAGCCCGCCTCCCCCCTAAATACTTCTTCTCCCTACATTGGTCCTACTGGAGGTCTTGCTGAGCGTCGTGAGCCTGCGTCTCGTCCTGCGACGCCTGTTCGTGCTGCTCGCACTAGTAGTCGTGTTCCGCGTCAGCGTCCTCCAGCGGTCCTAGGCACACACCAGATGGCACTTCGTCCTTCCACTGCTCCTCTACGTGTCCTGTTGCTGTCTCCTCCAGAGTCCTCTCTTCCTGTCCTTGCTGACCCGGAGTGTGACTCTCATCGTGCTGCCAGTCCTACTGTCACGCGTCTCATGGCTAGTGTTGTCACTGAACCTTCCTTTGAGTCCACTGCTGACGCGAACCACAACGACTAGTGCTAGCAGCATGAACAGGCGACGCAGGACGAGACGCAGGCTCACGACGCTCAGCAGGACCTCCGGTCGGACCAGTGTATGGAGAAGGAGCAGGTAGGGAGGAGGCGGGCTGTAACTGTGACTACGACTGGAGAGGCGGTGGACACCCTAAGGAAGGAGCAGGACCAGAAGAAGGCGGAAGACCAAGAACCTGCTGAAGGAGCGGAACGTAGTACGGCCGCGGCCGCGCAGCGCCTCCAGAACTACCAGGGAAAGAACTAGCACCCCTAGTGGCAGATCCACCTCCACCAGCACCATTAGCTCGAGCAGCACCTCCACTAGCACTAGAAGCGCCAAATCCAGCACCCACAGGCGCACTGGCTCTAGAAGAACCTCCAGCTCCAGCACCTCGAGCAGCTCGAGCTCCAGCAAGACCACCAGAAGCCCCAGCAGCGCCAGCAGCTCCAGCTTCAGTACCTCGAGCAACACCACCAGCTCAAGCACCTCCACCAGCTCCAGCTCCAGCAGCACCACCAGGCGCAACAGCTCCATTACCTCCAGTACGAGCACCTCTGGGACCCGTGGCCCCAGAACCCCCAGCAGCTCCAGCAGCAGCAGGACCTCCAGCAGTAGTAGCAGGGCCTCCCGCGTCCAGAGAACCACCAGCTCCAGCAGCACGGCTCAAGTGCCGATCAAACCACTCGTGCAGCTGCTATGGAGAGAGTGGCTCCCGCCGGGACGAAGCACCCGAAGGACCTCCAGGCTCAGCACCGCTAGACTCCACACGAGCACGCCCAACACCCTCAGGCTCTGCACCCCCAGACTCAGCAACCCCAGGCTCAGCACCCCCAAACTCAGCACCCCCAGGCTCAGCACCCCCAGAACTAGCACCCCCAGGCTCAGCACCCCCAGGCTCAGCACCCCCAGACTCAGCACCCCCAGGCTCCGCACGCTCAGGCTCAGCACCCCTAGCAGCACCAGAGTCAACAGCTACCTTGACAAGCTTGACTGCGTCTACCTAGGACACACCTGAGGGGGGAGGGGGTCTACCAGGGGAGGACCTGGCGCGAGGAAGAGCGGCCGGGGGGGGGAAGGGGGCAGTGCGGTAGGGGAAGAGACGGTAGTAAGGAACCGACTCGTCAAACGTGACGTCCTCAGAGGACAAAACACGGCGCGAGGTGGGGTGGTAAAACTGCCAACCAGGCACGTCAGGGGGGAAGCCAAGGAAGACGCAGGGAACTGCACGGGAGGACAGCTTGTCCGCAGACAAGTCGCGGACGAAAGCTCGAGATCCCCAAACACGGAACGCAAACGCATCGCCCACCTTCCCCGTCCACCGCAAAGTAGGTGTGGTATCCGGCATGGAGACACGGGGCTGGAGGTTGAGCTGATGCGCGGCGTACTGAACCGCGAACGGCCACAGAAAATGGGGAGCTGCCGCATGGATCATGGACGTACGAGCGACATCCATGACCAAGACAATGCGGCGCTCAGCAATCCCATGTTGCTGCGTAGAGGCCGGAAGCGTGAACGTCTAGCGGATGCCCTCCGCACGACAGAAAGTTCGCAGAAGGTCGGATGAAAACTCTCCACCTCTGTCGGAGTGTAGACGCAGAACAGGAAGGTCCGAGCCGAAACTCTCGCTGAGCTGACGACGGGCAACGCGGATCCAGTCGATCAGCACCTCAGTGACCTCACCCTTGCGACGCAAGGGGAAGACTGTGGTATAACGCGAGTAGTGGTCAACGACCAGGAGAAAGTAGCGCTCGTGACCCTGGCCACCGATGCGGGCTAGGCCCCACACATCCATGTGAAGCATCTGCAGGGGAGCGTCCGTCAGGGGGAACTCGGAGGAGTGAGGAGCGGCGCGCTATCGCCCCTTGACATAAGGAACGCTGGTAGGGGCAGGCCTTGGGGGAAGGGGAGGGAGAGACCAGGGAAGACCAGTGACAAGTGTCAGAATCCCAACCACTAGACCATTGGGATAAAAGGGCTTATTTCAGTAGCGGGTCAGTGCGCCCATACCCCCCCAGGCGAACGTGCCTGTAACCCTCTCCAGGATCAATCGGGCATCCACAGTGCAGATCTACTGACACCCCCCCACACTGGGAGGTCCAGGGCTAAGCACAGCGCCAACGGCCTACATGTGCATACAACGGGAATCGAACCCGAGACCGCTCTGATACCATGTCAGAATCCCAACCACTAGACCATTGGGATAAAAGGGCTTGTTTCAGTAGCGGGTCCGTGCGCCCATAACTGTGAGGATCTAGGATCGAGTTCAGAAAAGAGAATGAGAATTGAGTCGAATTGAATCGAATTGAATTGAATCGAATGTTCACCTGGGTACAACACGAGGCTATATATAGGCTCGACACAAGGCCCCGTAACCAGGTGTTACGCGAAGGTTTCGCGGGGCGCGTAGCGTCCCGAACAGATCCTTACCGAATTCGGTAGAAGGCAATTCGGTGGCAACCGAAAAGGCCAGAATTCGGTGCACGCAACCTAGCTCGGTGCTATAACTATAATAAAATATAGGAAAGCACCTAGCCTAGGAAATCAAGCAATTCATGCATGCATATAATTATCCTATGATAGAAATAGCATGATAAAGTAAAGGCAAGCAAGCATAGCTGGCATAAGCCGTCGTACTCTCACACGTTCCCCCCTCAAAGCTGGGTGGCATGAGATACACCCTGCTTGACAAGATAGTCCTTGAGAGCACGGCGTGCGTTGCCCATATCAGCTTCTGCAACCCAACTATCCTGAGTGGGGTCGTATCCCTTCCAGCGTATCAGGAACTCGAGGGTCTTGCCGCCGCGGCACCGATGAGAGAGAACGCGCTCGATCTCGTACTCGGGTTCATCCTGTACAAGAACATGTGGAGGTGGCGGTAGCTGCCGTCCCTTGAAGTGTTGGTTGGGGTCCTTGTAGGGTTTCAGTAGCTGCACATGGAAAGCATTGTGAAGCTTCTACGTATCTGGTAAGCGCAAGCGGAATGTAACTGGTTTCACCTGTGCCTCAACGAGAAAAGGACCACAGAAGCGAGGCCGGAGTTTGGATGGGAGGTGAGACAGGTTCAAGTTGCGCGTGTCAAGAAGCACCTGATCTCCGACTGCTACTGAGTGATCACGTCGCTGACGATCGGCATACTGCTTCTGGGAGGTCTGCATCGTGGTGAGTCGTCGCTGAGTCTTCTCCCATAGCTGCTGCGCGGTAGTCGATGCACATCCGTAGACTGCCGTCTGGTTTTGGAGTGAAGAGAACTGGTGCGCCGTAGGGAGAGGTGGATGGGCGGATCAGTTGTCTGTCCAGTAGATACTCTATCTGTTTTTTCATGTCTGTCAGTTCAGTCGGACTCAGTCGGTATGGTGCACGTGAGACGGGTTTCGCACCTGGTTCCTCCACGATCTCGTGCTCGTGGGTGCGTGTTGGAGGTACGCCTGCAGGTAGGTCGTCGGGCATTATATCTTTGTACTGCTCCAAGACCTCCTTCACTGCTGCAGGTAGCTCGGAACTCGGCTTCTCCTCCTCTGCTGCTGCCATAACTAGTGCTAGGTAACCCGTGTTACTCTCGTTCACCGTCTGTTCGAACCGTGCCAGTGTCGTTTCAGGTACGTCCCCTGTATCCGTCCAGCTTCGCAGTGCTATCCGCTTCCCATTGTTGTAGATGCACACCTTGCTGTTGACCCAATCGATCTCGGGGTTGAACCGCTTCAGGAAATCTCGCCCCAAGATAAAATCTAATCCTTTGATGTTGGTGACTAGTAGCTTCGGCTTCCACCTCAACGCACCTATATGCAGTTGCAGTGATGCTTCGCTGTGGATAGGAAGCTTCGTACCGTCAACCATGGTTGCTGAAAACTGGGTCTCTTCTGTCAGAATATTATCTTATTGTTCTAGCCTGTAGTGGGGTGCTCTATAGCGAGTACAACCCTTCTAGGGTTTGCTATTTGTATCCTCATTCTTGCTAGTTCAATCCTCTTT